TATATATGTATATNTATATATATGTATATGTATATATATATATATATATATATATATATGGTATATATTTTATTATGTATATATGTGGGTGGGTGGTTGGGCTGGTGTGTTGTGGGTGGGTGGGTGTGTAGGTGTGTTTGTATATTTACATACGTAAAGTATGTTTGTATGTATGTAAAGTATGTATTCATGTATATATGTATGTATGTATGAGTATGATTTGTTGTTGTGGGTATACTGTAAAAACCCATGTGACTCCTAAACCGTTTAGCGCATCCAAATCGACTTGGTAACATGAAGTGAATCAATTTTAAATCAATTTCAATAAACAAACAGCCTCAAGATTTACTCTATTATACTCCACGATATCGTTCTGCGCAATATGGGACCCAGCCGGTTCGGAATTCGTAGTCAACATTGTTGACCTCTCCTTGTCTGCAACTATGTGAGCTGGTCGGAGATATACTCTCGCCTTGCTAGCCTCTCACAATGTAGTCGCAAGCATTAAATATTTAGCATTGATAACCTCTTTGAAGCGGGTAAATATTCACATATTTCGTAACTATAGTCCGTCTGTAACTTTAGTCTTCAACCCGAAGCCCTACGAAGAGTAAATCGCCAATACGACATAGAAATATTTGAAATACGCTTCTATTTCAGCCTTTACCGCTGCATGGTTGTCGATCGAATGTTGTTTTTCTACTAATATCATACATGCTTTAGAGTGCTTTACTCGCGTGTAAATAAGGCGCTTATTCAGTAGTGCAGTCGCAGACGGGAGAATGCTGTCGATAAGGCAACCCCTTTTCACCCCATGCGAGTGAGGGTTTGATGATGGGTATTTTGGGACACACATGGGTTGCCCATTTTTGGCGGGAACTGACGCCGTAATTCCTTATTTTTACATAAATATATTTTTTAGTAGACAACCGGTATGGTCTAAAAATACAATTTGTTTATAAAACCTTGAGCTGTATTTGTATACCTTTGTTCCAAGAAGAGTAAGTCCGCGGCGCCAATGTCACTACTTAAACAAGCGAGCAGACTGGCTTCGAGTCGCGCAAGTTCCACATCTCCAACAATGACTGACCATACCGCGTGGGTGACATCGTACAATATCCTCAGCAGCCACCTGTGCGAACCCTCGCACTTCCAAGCCTGCGAAACTGAACATCTGAACCAACGCAATCGTATCAAAAAAATCCTCGCTAAACTCACGCCGGAGATTGAAAAGAAAAGCATCATATGCTTGCAAGAGGTCAGCCGTACATATGCCGGCGATCTGCATGTATATTTTGCTGAGCGAGGCTACCACTTTGTAACTGGTTTGTACGGCAGGAAGTTCAATGACTTCATGGGCGTTGGTACCGCATGGCCGGTCGATGAATACGAAAGCCTGAACGTAAACACTAAGAAGCTAGCAGACACAGTTAAGTGGGGTAAAGAACCCGAACCAGGACTAGTCTATAACTCTTGCACTAGGGTTTTGAGCTTAGCCACGTGGCCACTGAGACAAGTAACGCCCAAAAGTTTTTGGTCGCCACCAGATGACCCATGGTACGTGTACATTTGTCGTTACGGTTCGATCTGCTCTATGAATAGTCCGTAGTATCTAGCATGTGCACTCATCTGATTTTTTTGGTCTGGGCCTCGGGTGCTTTTCGATGCTACAAGCCGTACAATTTTTTTCCGCACATATGATAATTCGTTCTAGAAAGGTTTGTGTACCAGTGATTTAGTTCGTGAACTCGCATTTTAACCATTCTCGTACCATCCCTGAAAGCATGCATACACCTCTCTATACCTTTATAAACATGTACGTATAACTCTAATCGTTGGTGATATATATATATATATATATGTGTGTGTGTGTGTGTATGTATGTATGTATATACACACACATATATATATACATATATATATATGGGTGTATATATATGCAATCAAGAGATAGTATGTAGAGGTAGTCACTTCTGATCGCCGTTCTCTTATTGACAATTTTATAAACTATACATAAACTTTACTGGTCGTCAACACCAAGAGGTTGTGGATAGAAGTAAATTAAGTAAGTAGTATTCCTCCTGGTACCCGGGGTATATCGTAGAGAGATCCGTTAAGCGATGGATCTTACATGGTATATATATTTATATATATATATATACATATATATGTATATTTGTCATATATATATATATATATATCATATATATATATATATATGTGTGTGTGTGTGTGTATGTATTTATGTTGTATGTTATTTGTATAGGTATAATTAATTTATATATTTAT